CAGAGAGAGGGGTCACTGGCACATGGGGACGTGTGGCATCACCGCGCTCACCACGCCGGCGATCAACTGCTGGAAGAAACGCTGCGCCTCCGCCTCCGGCATCCCGATATCCGGCTCTGCACCACGAGGATAGGAAACGGAAAAGCAACAATCAACCATTTAAAGATGAATTTTTTAACACCTATAAAACAAAAGGCGCGCGGACGCGGGCGTACCAATGCGGTCGAAGAGCTCGCCGCCGCTGCAGTACTCCAGGAAGAGGTACTGCGTGGCGCCCTCCCGCCGGTGGCCGTAGAACCGGAGCATCTTGTTGATGCAGATTTCCTTCTTTATGTTCTCCGGGCACTCGGCTGCGCGCTTCATGTCCACGATCTTCACCGCCACCGCCTCCTCGGTGCGGCGGGTGGAGGGCCACCGTGCGGCGGTTGACGGCCAACTGCACCCTGCGGCCGCAGGGGGGTCAGCGGGGGGCAGAGGGCAAGCACTGGGCAAGTAGGGGGCACACAAGGGACATGCAGGGGGCATCCATAGGGTACGCAATGGCCAAGCAGTGGGCAAACAGTGGCCAAGCAGTGGGCACACACCGGGCATGCAAGGCAAGCAGTGGGCACATACCAGGCATGCAATGGCCAAGCAGTGGGCAAACAGTGGCCACACAGTGGGCACATAACAGGCATACAATGGCCAAGCAGTGGGCAAACAGTGGCCACGCAGTGGGCACATACCAGCTATGCAATGGCCAAACACTGGGCAAGTGATGGCCAAGAAGCGGGCAAGCAGTGGCCATGCAGGGGGCACATAAAGGGCATACAATGGCCAAGCAGTGGGCAAATAGTGGGCACACAAGGGACAAGCAGCAAGCATATATAAGGTATGCAATGGCCATGCAGTGGGCAAGCAGTGGGCAAGCAATGGGCACACAAGGGGCAAGCAGCAGGCACGTAAGGTGCCTGCAACAGCCAAGCAGTGGGCAAATAGTGGGCACACAAGAGGCAAGCAGTGGGCATCCATAGGGTATGCAATGGCCAAGCAGTGGGCAAGTGATGGCCAAGCAGTGGCCACGCAGGGGGCACATAAGCAGCAAGCAGTGGGCACACAAGTGGCATGCAGCTGGCAAGCAGTGGGTACACAATAGGCAAGCAGTGGGCAAGCAATGGGCATAAATAGGGCATACAATGGCCAAGCAGTGGGCACACAAGAGGCAAACAGTGGGCATCCATAGGGTATGCAATGGCCAAGCAGTGGACAAGCAGTAGGCACATAAGGGGCATACAATGGCCAAGCAGTGGGCACACAAGAGGCAAACAGTGGGCATCCATAGGGTATAAACCAAACAAGCAGTGGACAAGCAGTGGGCACATAAGGGGCATACAATGGCCAAGCAGTGGCCACGCAGGGGGCAAACAGTGGGCATACAGAGGGTATGCAATGGCCAAGCAGTGGGCAAGTGATGGCCAAGCAGTAGCCGTGCAGGGGGCACATAAGGGGCAAGCAGTGGCCATGCAGGGGGCAAGTGGTGGGCACAGGAGGGGCGAGCAGCGGGCACATGCAGGGTAGGCAATGGCCATACTGTGGGCAAGCGGTGGCCATGCAGGGGGCACAGGAGGGGCCAGCAGCGG